TCATAAATCGTTCCTGTGCCGCAAAGATATATTTGCGAATTCTGAATTGATGGTGTATTAAGCTGCGGTGCAGGTACAATATTGTTTCCGTTTGAAAAATTACAACCGGTAATTCTAACGATTAATCGAAACTCGATTCAAATACTATTTTTCACTACAAAAGAGAATAATTAATATTGGTTCGAATATAACATGATTTTTTATTACGCGATAATTACAAATCTAGATTTAAAAACAAAGATGAAATGGATATCGAATTGTTCGAATCTATCAATTTTGAATTTGCTGTTCGAATACGTGTGGTATGAAAAGATATTTTAATTCAATTTTCTTTTACAATGGCGCAATATTTTCTGAACGATGGTATCATTATTTTGAGAAAATTATTTCGTATTATATCGAATAATATAAAAATTTTACAGAATAATATCTATATTTAAAAATTTTGAAAATTGATGTTTGGTTCAATATTATAACGTCATATTATTCTATTCCCCAGATACAATAAAAATAGAACAGGCTCAGCAACAGGCAAATCTGGGTTAAAACTGCTGGTTGTGACGTTGAAACTTTTAAAAGAAAAAAATCAGATTTTTATACTTCCAATAATAATGTTCATCGGGGCGGAGCAAGCATTTTTATTTGCCGATTATAATGCTGTGAGTATTTTGATGTTTTCATTTTTTTATTGGTCGTTTCTTAATATACTCAAGTCGTTTGTTTTAGTCGTTCGTTTCCTGTGCATGGGGAATTAATAATATCGGTTATGTGATGATCTGTTTCGGTGTGACGAACGCTATAGCAGCGTTGGGTGCAGGATCTATAATGAAACTAACGGGAAGAAGGTCTTTGATGGCATTCGCCTTCTGTATTCACATGGGAGTTTTAATTTTCCTTCTTCATTGGAAACCTATGCCTGAACAAAATTTCATATTCTTCTTAATATCTGGATTATGGGGTCTTTGTGATGCCATGTGGCTTGTACAAATAAATGGTAAGAATTGTGACGAGAATTATAATAAATTATAATAAATTAGAATTTGAGTTTTGAAAATATTTATATTTTTGTTTTTACCATCTTTTGATTAAATGAATTTTTGTATGTGATATTGTTAACTGTTACTAAAATAGTTTTTGTACTAGATAACTGATGGTAACATAACTGTATCGTTTCGTCGATAAAGTTGAATATAGTTCTTATCTTGATGGTCTGTAAACTGTAGATGACTCAAAATAATTGTTCAAGAGGTCGATATTGTAGAAAGTGACCCCTTAATATAGAAATTTATTATACCCACTGTAGATAATTCCTTTTTCAAAAATATATTGAATTTGCATTATATATCACTAATTTTCTTTAATACGATATAAATCTTTAAAGAAATATAATGAAATATGGAAGATATTATTTTTCTTTATTAATATTTCAAAATTCATTGTCGTTTCAATAGATAATAATAAAAATTTTCTTGTAATTTTTAGCTCTGTCAGGCTTACTATTCCCGGGCAAGGAAGAAGCCGCCTTCTCAAATTTCCGGCTGTGGGAATCCACAGGTTCTGTGATCACGTATGTGTACAGTCCTTACCTGTGCACAGAGATAAAGCTCTATATCCTTATAGGAATCCTCTGTTTTGGAATGATCGGTTATGGTATGATCGAATGGTCCAAAAAAATCAATGATTCAATTCCAGAATCAAAACCAGATTTCGAGTTGGTTACAAACAACGAAATTAATGACACGACGAAACTTTGAGTTAATAAAAATGAAATTAATGAATCTTTATAACTGAAAGTATATGGTTCTCTTGTAAAACATTCCTCTGCATACATTATATTTTGTCAATTCGAAGTAACGATTCTCCAAATGTAAACGCTTCTTCGAGCTTTCCATGATTTAATACCAAAAAAAAAAAAAAAAGAAAATTATAAAAATTTTTGGTTGGTATTTAAAAGTATTTTATATGTATATATATATAGCATCATTGTTAAACACAGAGGGCGGTGAATTAAAGAAGAAAGAAAAAGAGCTGATTTTACTAGCGATAATTCTTCGGATTATTTGAAAACGCTCGACAATAGGATTATCGTGTGTTAATAATATTATAAATTGCGGTATACATATCTCGTATATATAGAAATCATACACAAATCAGATCGGCATATAAAAAATTATATGTACAAGAAAGAGTTCGGTTGGAGGCGCAGTCAGGACCTTGAAGGTACGATCTTTGTGTGATTTGTACCACAATATATGTTTTTATTTTATTCTTGTGGACACCTACTAGATTTTACACAGATAGTTCGCTTAACCGCTAAAGATTCTTTTTTTTCTCCGTTCCACTTCATGTTCTTCATTTTTTTTTTTTTTAATTTTTTTCCTTTTAAATACGTAGTTTAATGTTACATCGTGTGTCTAGGTGCTAACATTCAAGCTAAAGGCTACGGCTGCTTAATTTAATTGTATACTTAATGTGTTTTAATTTCCTTTTTTCACTGTACGCGTGTGTCTCATGTACGTGTACGTGTATAATAATGTATGTATATATGTATGTCTGAATGTGCCTCGTATTAAATTGTATATGTGCGTGTACATGTGTGTGTTTACGTGGCTTATGTATGTATTATTAACGCGTTTTCCTCTCTCGTAGCGTGTTCCGTTATGCTCATCATTTATTGTGCTGTCACGATCAATTGTCTCCCGTCTTTTAAATTGCGAAGACGATGATTTATTAAAAGATTATTATTATTATTTTTTCTTTCTTCCACTCGAATGTATCGCGTGGACGTGTTACGTGTAATCTTCTCGAATTTGTTGAAATTTTGTATTAATAATAAATTAATAATAACGAATCGTGACATGGAATCAATTGACCCTGCATCCCTCTTGTCTCTTAGCGTCGTTCGATTGATGATTGTATTTGTGGATCGTGTGCTAGCTTAACCCTCGTTTATGTACAATTCAAGTTTTGCAGTTCAGTTATATACTTTATAAAACGTAGTAGGAACTTTGGTTTCGCTGGGCAATGTTTCAAAAGCAGTTTCCTCTTTTCATTTCGTGCCACGAACTTTTTTTCTCTTTTTTATTTTTTATTTCTTACCTTTGATTTATATCCTTTGTTTAAACTTATTTTCCTGAAAACACAATTCGGTTATTTTATTCTAGTGTAGCTAATATATCGTGTGGGTGTTTTTCTTTTTTTTTTTTTTTTTTTTNNTTTTTTTTTTTTTTTTTTTTTTCATTCTTTGAATTCAACCTGAAATGTGAAAATTTGGCCGGAAACTGCTATAAAACATTCGCCCGTGGATCTATCTTCCTTAGAAATATGACACTCACGAATACAGTTCACGTTTTTTTTTTCTTTAATACTCATGTTTATATTTCCGTAATGACCTATTGAATATCAATTTTTTTTTTTTCACGAAGAAAATACACATGATTCGTAAATTTGTTTTCTCTCTCTCGTCAGTAGTATTTCTCTCGTTCACACTCTCCCTCACTCTCTCGTTTGTAATTTTATTTTTTTTTTTTTCTTTTTAATTTATTCTCTCGTCAACATCCACCGCGCCATTCTCCCCCATTTTTTTTTCCTCGTATAACAAAATTTAATAACCGGAATATCTCTGTACAAACATTTTCATTCTTTTCTCTTTTTCTCTTTGTCCCACCGCACTCCGTCACTATCTTTCTATCAAAAAAAAAAAAAAAAAAAAAAAAAAAAAAAAAACATACACGTCCCCCATTAATCAAAATTTTGAATTTTGAATCGTCCCTCTATCGTCCCCAATTCACCCCTTAACCGTACACCAATCCATTCGTTTCTATAATACATTTTTCCATCTCTCTCCCTCCTTTTTTGTGCACTATTCTCCATTCTCCGTATTTTCTATTGCCTCCATCTTTTTGTATGCTTCGTTTAGGAACAGATCACTTTGCTCGTATCTTTAATCGTATCCTAGAGAGTAAAATACCTTAAACGTACGCGTTTACCCTTACAAATTTATTTTTTTTTCATTTTTTCAACCCCTCCAACCCCTTAACGCTTTTATTTTTTTTTTTTTCATCTTTTTTACCGTGCGAATAGTGTGTTTCGTCCGTCCATTACATAATTATCTGTCTGTCGTCGTCGCGTCATTGTCCTCGTGTAACTATTTCATAGTTATCACGATCACGATTTAGTTAGTTAAACGTATCATTTTTTTCTCGTTTTTTTTTTTTTCTTTTAGATTCTTACGATATTGCAGTCCCTAGGTGTCGCCTTAATTATATACATTCACTACCCTTTCGCGCTTCTAGCTACGCTCCTTGCAAGGATCTCGTGGTTTAATAATTAATCGTATGTGAATTAGCCCATTACAACGGCGGGGTATCGAAGTATGCGTGTGTGTGTGTGTATCTGTATGCACGAATGACGCGAATGTTTATTATGTATCTATGTGCGTGTATACGTGTTGTATATATTCCATTATTTCGTTTCGTTCCCTTTATTGGCGATCATACGGTGTGTCTGTGTGTATACGTGTGTATGTTTCTCATCTTTAATTATACTCGAGCTGAGAGATATTTAAGAAATCGTGTCGTACCATTATTACTTTTTTTTTTTTTTTTTTTTGGGATGGGTTTAGTTTCGCCTACAGTATCGTTTATTACGGCAAGGAAGGAAAAATCGTCGAGAGAGAACAATGTCGATCGGTCGCGCGCACGCTCTATTCTGCAGTTATTATTTATAATTATTATTACTTTTTTTCCGCATATTATTATTTTTTTTTTCTCCATTTAAAAACGACTATCCTGCCCTCCAGTAAGATTAGACGTAAAGAAAGAGAGCCCTTTCACTTGAAGCGGAACACATTCAAAAGTAAAACGCTATTATTCACTATATCGATTAACCGGGGAATACATGTGATACTTTTTATCCTTGTGGATGGTCGATATTTTAAGCTTCTCGTAATGGTATTATAATTTATTTTTTATTTTATTTACTTCCTCTTCCCTTCCTTCTTCCTCCTCCTCTTCCTTCTTCCTCTTTTTTTTTCGTTTTTTTTTTTTTTTTTTTTTACTTTTTTCATTTTAACTAACGAACCATTCCTCTGGATGCGTTATAATAAATACGAAGATTCGTCCGTGGAAATTGGAAAAACCTGTCCCTGGTCGTACCGCGTCCCGTCTCGGTCGGAGAACACCGCCATCTTGTGAATAACGACGCGTTTCAAATGGCGGCCTGAATCGCGTAACCGGAAGTGAAATTAATCCCCGCCAATGACGGTTATGGAACGCGTGATTCACTAGCACGCATTTATCAGTGTCCTCGCGTGGTGAATTTGCAATCGAATTAGTATCGTTATAGAGTGCACGTTGCCTGCTCGTGGCTGTGTTATACACACGTATATAATACGTACATTCATATGTATATATATGTATACCAGTGTATATACCCAGCTAACGTTTATTTCATGGAATTTATGTCGGTGATAACTATTTCGGTCGGCTTCGCACAAATTTTACCGCAAGATTATCTTTTATATTACGGCTCTTGAGAATCCAATGAACGCCGGATATCGATCGCCGTGATTTTGATGATTCATTCTTCCAGCAATCTATCGATTTTTCGTGAGAATTAAAAAAAGATGATTTTGAATCTTTCTGAAACTGTCAGCGATTCGTTCAATTTTTACTTTAACTAGAAGCAAAGAGTTCAGTTTCTTTTCTTTCTTTCTTTTTTTTTTTTTTTTTTTTCTTTCCAGTCAAAGGAAGAATTGAATTTATTCGATCCTTTTTTTGTATTTTCCTTACTTTGAGGCGGGTAATTCGATTGCATATTTCCCTGGACTGAATAGACGGGACGCGTACCAAATATAAATATATCGATACAATCACCAGCGGCCAAGCAGATCGAACATTTAGGAACGAAAGATGCGTAAATGTTTAATACGTATACCTCGTTATATGGCAGATTATTACGGACTAGTAACTTTTTTTCTTCCATGTTTATTTCTTGCGGGGGAAAAACGTCAAACCACTTTCAAACGTCCCTTTTCTCGTTTCCGGTTCGAATAGAATTTTAAAAGGGTATTAGGAGGATTCTTATGATCGATCGATAATATACTTTCAAAAAGACGTTATTGCATTAATTTACTCGCTACAAAGTTTCTTCTTTTTCATTTTTCTTTCGTTTTATTTTTTTTCTTCTTTTGTTTTCTCTATCCTCGTTTCCCTCGTGACTTTTTGCTTTTCCCTTTCGATCAATTTTTTTTTTTTTTTTTTTTATCTAAAATACACGCGTATAATTTATACAGACGAGCACACCCAGAGAACAATATGGTTGAAACATCTTTCTTTTCTTTTTTTTTTTTTTCTTCTTTTTCCCTAACGAAGCCTGTAAACGAGTGGTTGTTTCACCGGTAAGAATGAAAATAAAAAGAGTTGGATGATGGATCGTCATAAACGATAGCGGCGGTACTGTCAAAACTTTTCCGTTTCTATTTCCTGTGTGAACAACTGAATTGTATCCCGCTGTGTATGGCATGTGAACGTGACGGTACTGTTGTTGCTGTTTGTTATTGTTCGTTATCGGTATTGTTACTGTTTGCTGTTCTCGTTGCTTCAACTATGTTCTTTTCTGTGTGCGAAAGGACCGAACACACTGGTCCGTTCCTCGATCTCATGATTCTCGATGGGATCTCGTACGAAAAATATCATTCGAACTCTTCGAACGATTTCAAAGTTCGATCGTATTTTCCGTACGATCCACGATTTTTGTGCTTCGTCTGTTGATTTCATAATGACAGACGATTCTCAGTAGCTGGAAGCTTCTCGATCGTTTCACGAACTAGCGTTATCTGTGCGATTACTTAACGGAATTACTTATCCTAGTTTCACGAGCCGAGACGCGACTTGATAATTGTTGTTTGATTTACGTCTTATCGTGTTCCGTCCCTTGATACGAATGATACACGAGTTTTTCTTTTTTTTTTTTCAATTCTTTCCCGAAGAATTTATTAATCTTTTTAAAATTTAAAAGGTTTCCTGTTTTATCATTAATCGATAATATTTCGTGTATCACCCATAGGAATTTACATTATCGTCAGTCGCTTTCTTACCGGCTGCCAATAGGAAAATCACACTGACTTGGTTCATGGTCGATAAAATTTTTTTTTAATTTCTTAATCGATTTCATACTTTTTTTTTTTTTCTTCGTTTAACGAAATATCGGATAAGACGATGGCGGTTAAGGCAATTATCAACGTTACAAACGCTCGACTCCTGTACATCACATTAACCGTAGGTTAAAACTATTTACAGAATAGGTCTCGTATACGCCTGCAATCACAATGATGATCTTTACATCGATCGTCGAGAGCGCGCCTTTAAAAATTCATGGCTCGACGAGTATCGTGCATGACTTTTTAAAGCGATTCCTTCGGAACGCGCTAATTTCTCCGAATTATTTTATTAACGCGACGCCGAGATTCGCTGTTACTTCTTTTTCTCTTTGTCCCCCGTTGTTGTTTGAAATTCCTGTTCACGCGATTATTCATCGATCCGTCCCTGGTTTCGTCGAAGTGATCGATGAATGAAACGCTATTCGAATCTCGACGAATTCAACTCGTGCAACGTAAAATTCGAGTCCTTAAAGCTTCTTATTTTCATTCTTTTTTTTTTTTTTAATTATATTTGCTCACTGGTTCCATTCGCGACCAATCTTGTCCTAGCACTTTTACACAACGTCCTTCGACATCAGTCTCACCGCGTTTTTCAAGGATTGCCTCTTGTTACAGAACCAAATCCTGATCACTTCTCGGTCGTATCCGAGGCGTTGCGCCAAGTTCGTGATTTCATTACCTGAAATGAATACAGAAAATTGTTAGTCAAATTAATCTTAAAGGATAATTTATCTTCAAATTTTATTTTTTCTTTCTTTCCGAATACGTATTTAATACGCGTATTAAATATTTAATACGATTTATTCTTCCAAAATATTTTTTTTTGTTAGAGAAGTTTAAAATAAAATAATCTTCAAGCTTTCTTCTTTCTTAAAGTTTGCTTTGAATTTCAGAATATATCATGTTAGAAAGACAAATGACAATTAGAAAACTTACCATTAGGATGAGTATTTCTGTCGAAGTGAGCGTTTAACAATTCCAAAGCCTGGGGGGTGAACGAAGTTCGTCGCTTTCGTTTCTTGTTCGTTTCCACCCCGATAAAATCCGTCAGCTGATGTAGCCCGCTCTTGTGCCTGTAACCAAACACACTGTCCTCATTTCTCTTCAATAAAATTCATACTGGTAACAACGTTCTTACTAATACTACTTTAATAAATACTTTAATAATAATCACGCAAAAAGCAAGAATCTCGAAAATGAAAAATGAAATTCAGAATGAACATATCAGTACATCGCAAACATCGTATTATCGGTAATTAAACGGTTCATCGCCTTGAAAAAAACACGCAAGAAAAATGGGAATAAGAACAAAATAAAAAGAGAAAAAGGAAAAAAAGATACAAGCCGATGTAAAAAAACGACTTGGAAAACTGAATTTTCATCTCACACTAGTGCAAATACCACCCCGATCGTACTCTAATCAAATATTAAAACAAAACGGACGACGGATCGGTCGTCTGTTAACTCGGCAAACTTTCTCTACATCAAAGCGATCCTCGCGGAAAGCGCCATCGTAAACAGAGACGGAGGAGTTAGTCGCGTGAACACCGTTCAACATTTCTCTCCGTCGTCTCGCGATTCGAATCGATTCGATTCCTTACAAAAGAAAAAAAAAAAAAAAAAAAAAGAAAAAAAGAACAAAAAAAAAGTAAACCCCCTCCCCAAAAAAAAGAAGAATAAAAAGAACGAAGGAGGAAGGAGGAATGGCCGAACAAGAGAAATGACCGAAACAAAGCCGGCCGGTTTTGCGAGACATTCATCCCCTTGACTGATTGGCCTTCGTCCCTAGCCGACCAACTTTCCCTGATGGAACGGACGGCGGAGGACGGCATCGCGATGTCGCCGTCGCGCAAATGAAATTAGCGATCGAAGCGCGTCGCATCGAAAAAAACCTCGTAACCGTAAACAGGAGAGAACTTCCGTTGGGAATCGCGGCTAAGCGAGCGAAACGCGGTAGGGGGTGAGGGTGGAAGGACAGAGACAGGGACGGTAGAGGGAAGGGTGGAAGGGATGGGAGTCTCGACGGTGCGCGATATACATACGCATCGAGAAAGAGAGAGAGAGAGAGAGAGAGAGAGAGAGAGAGAGAGAGAGAGCATTAGGCGACAGAGGAGGGTAGAGGAGTAGGTGGACGCCGCTGCGGAATTTATGTTTTTAATTTAACTCCGTATGACCAACTGTCGAGCCCCGCCGAAAAAAGTGCAGGCCGAGCCATTAGCATCGCATGGTGATATTTCGTCGAATCCGCGAAAACAATATGCTAATGGAGAAGCCGGGGTGCGCGAAGAACCGATGCTTCGAAACCCCGGCCAACGGGGGTGGGGCGAGTTTTCAACGGAGGCTGACGAACGACCGAGAATTGGGGAGGGCGGGGGAGGGTGGTTAGTGGCGATACGTCGACGATCGAGGCGTCGTTTCGCCGGTGTTTAATGGGGAAAAAATTAATGGGGCGGTGATGAGATAGGCTTGGCGGAATAAGGAATTATTTTATAGATTTTCTCTTATTTTAGGAATTTTTTTTTCTCTTGTATATGCGCGTGTGTGTGTGTATGTGTGTGTGTGTGTGTGTGTTAAGTCGAATCGAGAAGGTATTGAAATTTGATGATGAAGATGTTTTAGATTGTTGAGAATGGGAATCATTATTTTTTTGAAATAAAAATCATGGTATAAATAATAAGAATTATAATGTGTTTAAACGATTAAGTAATCGAACAAGTTTTCATATTTTTCGTGATGATTCATGATGGGTTATTCTTAGAAACTTTTAAACTTTTATCGTTTTAGATTGTCATTATGTCGCATAACGAATTGGTTTTCTGTTAATTGTTGTCTATCGTATAACCATCGGCCGTCAGTGACTTAATTAACGAGAAGAATTGGGAGTGAAGGGAGGAGAATTTATTAAATTGATAGAGAAAAAGCCTCCTCCGTCCTATGGTTACCGTGTTTAACGTTCGGGGAGGGGATAGGAGGGAGGGGGTAGGGAGAGTATGTGATTAAAATTAACCATACGGTAATTACATTTTTCCTACAAAAGAGGATTTATTTTTGGCGGCACACGATTTATTGATTACATTCGTGTTATTGGTATGAAAGTCTGATGAAGCTTGGAGGCTCGATGAATTCGCCGAAATGTAAATTCACCCATTAAGAAAATATTGAAACTCGGAGGACCATGTATATAAAGATAAAATCGATAAAAACGATTAAACAAAAAAAAAAAAAATTAAACCTATATATATATATATATATCAAATCTTCCGATCTTAAAAAATAGAAACTACCAATTATAAGTATCGAATATCAAAGTGTAATAATTATGCATATTATTTTTAAACGATTTTCAACAAAGCCTGCCCTGGCCAACATTACGACCGATCGAAATGCAAGCTCGAGTTCCCGAGAACTCGTCAAAGCATGTTGAAACGAAAAAAAAAGAAAGAAAAAGAAGAAGAAGAAGAAGAGAGAAAGAAGAAAGGGGGCAAGGGTGGAAAAAGGAAGCACAAAGCTTTCAATAACTGAAGACACGCGACACAAATTAAAAGGCGACCGTTTCAAAGCGGTCACAAATATCGTAATTGCTTCTCTTGCGCCAATTTACCACCGCTTTCAATAATCTTAATAAACCCTTCCGCCTCCAAAGGAAACGTTATTATCGCGCGCGTGTATTGCAGGCGAGAAAAGCTGACTGAAGAAGAGAGGAATACCCCCGGTTGAGAATAGGATGAAGAGGGAAAACGTGGAATCAAAACCGGCGCCGAGGGTTAACTCGAACACGTATTCCCCGCATACATATAGGTGAGAAGCCGAACGAAGGGAGAAAGAGGGTGGAACAAGGTGTACGACTGTGAACAAGGACAAGGATTATTTACTCGATGCACGTGAAATTTCGTTTCTACGAAGTTTGAACTCTAAAATTAATACCGTCGTAATTATTATCAAGTATATGATAAAAAAAGAAGAAATAGATCAAGCGTAAAAATCTAAGGATTTAAAGAAGGTTGAAAATTGAAAGTTTAAAGTTAAAATCGTTTCTAGATGCAAACTTTACAAAGATATGGAATATCGAGTATTGCGGATATTTGGATATATTTTAAAAAAGTTATCTTTCAAATTAATTATTTTTTAAATAAAGTTATCTTTTAAACTTATTTTTTGAAAAAATAATCAACGTTCAACGTAGATTACTTTAGAACAAAAAACTAGTTATCTAGAAGAACTTTATTCAACAATTCAAAGAATAAAACAAACAAGAATAAACAAGAGGAAACAAGAATCAATCATGATTCTCGAGAAGAACAGATGAAGAAATGAAAGAGGCTCGACGTGTCATGCCGATCCTCTCTCCCTCCCCCTCTCTCTCTCTCTCTCTCTCTCTCTTTCTTTTCTCCAAATATGAATCAGACACTCTGAAAGCGTGCTTAGTCACCCTCTGTTGCCTCTCCTCTCCTCTCTCTCGAATCCGTCGTCTCGAATCGATCGGAATAAATCAGCCAATCGAATATTTATTAGAAACTCCTTACAGGTTGGCATTAAACGAGCCCATCTAAATCTCGAGGCCGTGCAGGCACACATATTTACCCTGCTGTATACGAACTCACGGAGGGGGAGGAGGAGGAAAGATCAACCGAGGACGCCGCTCTTCGAAGAAACGAAGAGGAACACGAGAGCGCGAACTTGGAAACGCGTGGAAACGCGGGGCAGCAGCTGCTGGGTCCATTGGAAAAGTAAGTAGAGGGGAAGAGGAAACGGAAAACGGAGGCAAACGGATCGGAGGAGGAAATAAACAGTGGAGGGGGTGGAGGATTCGTGCGTGGGTGTGTAGCATCGAGAGTGTTGGCGTTTTACACGATCGTGTAGAAAACGTTAAGAAAGAAGGAGAGGAGAGATCTCGGGGGAGAGAGAGGGAGAAGGGAAAGTGAGGGGAGGGGGAAGGAGGAGGAGGAGAAGAAAGGACAGGAATCGTGGGGAGCGAGGAGGGGGAGGGTACATCAGAAACCTGATTTTAATTAGTCCACAGTTTAATTACTCGGCAGATAAATCGTGCACGTGCACCGCATAAACTAGCCGCTTTCATTTTTCCTGGACGCGGCAGGCGCACGGTCGCGCGCTTACTTCTATGCCGCGAGAATGCGGGATGGGTCATTGTTGCGAGGCAGGAGGAGAGAGAGAAAGAGAGAGGGAGAGTGGAGAGAGGAATGACTGCGTTTCAAACCGTCATCGAATCGGATGGATAATTGTAGGGAGGGTTAACCGGTTGATGGATCAGCGGACTCGATGATCCACGTCCTGCATTTCCCGTCGCGATTTTGTAAATATATCGCGTTACATTGGAATTATTTTAAGAACGAGAGATAGCGAAGTAGAAGTTTCATAATTCGATTATCAGTTTTCAAATTTATAATTTCGATAATTTCCCGAAAATGAAATGAAATTTTTGAAATTGAAGTTTAAATAAATGGCGACGAATTATAAAAAAATATTCATTTTTCGTTCGTATCATAGTGCTAATTATTTCTTCCGTTACAATCGTTTTACACATTCGTCAAACAAAAGAAGAAAAACTTATGAAAACGGCGAATCTTACGAACATAAAACTTGAAAGAATAATATTTTCCTCGAAAGAGCACACAGCGTTTCGTTTTATCGCGTGAAAAAATCATCATCGCATGAAACCAAAAAAAAAAAAAAAAAAAAAAAAAAAAAGGAAAAAAAGAAAAAAAAGAAAAAAAAAACAAAAGGATCAACAAGGGAAAATGTTGACAACTTTCGCTTTTCGTTTCGAAGCGAACGAGTAATCAAGGAACGAATCATTAAATGGGGAAAAACGGTTCCGGGCCAATAACGGGCGGGATGATTCGCTGTTTCGCCGGCGCGAAGGTGTTAATGCACAGTCAACAAATCATTTTGTTCGTTTTGGGAAAATCTGTTGATGCTACGCCGCGGGAATGCGGAATGGGTCATTGTTGCCGGCTCGGTCGCGGAAAGAGAAATGACCGCGTGCTCCTGTCATCGAATCATCCGGTTCACGGTCGAGATACATGCCGCGCACCTCGATACGCTACCCGATATACGTACACACGTATACACACGTTTTATAACACGTATCCATCTCTGTACGTATTTATATATATATTTTTTGCATATAACACGCGTATACATGTGTGTATATATATATATGTGTGTGTATTTTCCACGCTTTTGCCGGCAATAATGAAACGGTATCGCGGTGAAATTGAAACCATAAACCGTGTTAGGAGTCACCGACTCGTAAAATTCGACCGATTGACGCTCTTAGATTCCGGTATCGATTAAATGACGATTCTTCATCGAGTTAACATGGATACCAATCCGTGTAAGACATGATGGTGGAAACAGATAGATTTAAGATATGTAATAATCACTGTGGATTTTTTAATTTATGAATATTTAAACGTGAAATCGATGGTTTGGATTGAAAATCCAGAAATCAATCGGAAAGGAATCATTGTACATATCCTTGAAATAAATTTCGCTTTGGATTAAAGAAATCGTGTAAGTTAAATTTTTTCAAAATTTTCGAAAAGTTGGAATATTACGATTGTTTTTTTTAATTCAAATATTTTCACCCTTCGCGAAATTCGAAAATTTTTCCAATTTTTTTCAAGAAACGCTCGCTAATAGGGTTTGAAGCTTTCCGTTTTGAACATTGAAAAGAGAAAAAAAATCCGCGTGCGCGGAAAATAAAATTCTTTTCCACGATAAAACACAAAAATTCCATTTACCCTGTAGAAACTTATCCAATCTTTCGCAAACTCCGATACACTCCGAGCGTTCCAAATTCCGCGGAAACCTAACTTTCGATTCAAACAACAAGGCCAAACTTTTTCCACGCTGGAAAAAATTAAAATCCATACAAGGGGCCGAAGAATGATGATAAAACACGTTACATCGAAAATTTCGCGAGAATTTCCAATTGCAGGTATATAAATCCAGCCAGTTTGGTCGTTGTGGATCGTTATGAGGCCGTTGTTGTTTGTGTATCGACAATCGAACGATTCGAGCGATGAATTAAACTTTGAATTTCGCTAATTACGAATCCTGATACATCGTTGGCAGAAAAATCGGCGGTTTGTGTAGGTGTGGCGGTGTGTGTCGGTGCGCGGCGGCAAAACCGATACCTCGAAGGAGAGAGGCCGATAGGCGACTTCTTTCGCGACACGAATAAAACCGGCGGTACCTGTACCAGTGTGGAGAGGCGCGCGGTAACGGTTTCCCCCATTCTAATTAACATTCCGCGTATTTATTAGACGCGGATCCGCAATTAATCAGGCAGATTCAATTAGCGAATTACCAATTAGCACGCACGCGTTCACACGGTCTCGGACACCGCTTGAGATCCTGGATGTTGGACGATGTTGGATAATCGTAAAACTTGCCTTGTCCAAACGGAAATTTTAAGTTGGAACAAACGATCTTGATAATATAACGATCTTGAAATATAAACTTTGAATAAAACGTTCTGAATTTCTGTTTTTTGGAGAAAAGAAAAAGTTTGACTTTTTTGATAAAATCGAAAAATGGTTTGACGAAGTTTGAACATAAGATTTAAGATTTGGTTCGAGGCGACGAATGGTTGATTTTCGAACGATGAAATAATTTTTGAACGAATTTCTTTTCACTCTGAATTTCTTTTATTTTTTTTTGAAAGAAAGTATGATAGTTTGAAATTTGGTTCGAGATTTGCACGATGAAGTAAACTTTGAACATGTTCATTCTGGAATTTCTTTTTTGCATTTTCGAAAGAAAGAAAGATTTGATTTTTCATAGAGAAGTTAAGAATAGTTTGTATTTTAAACATCTTAAATACGAATAATTTTGTTTTTCTTCTTAGAATACTTTTAAACAGAATATTTCATTTGATCAAATGGAAAACTTGTAATTTAAATAGATAGGCAATTTAGATATCAGGAACATGTGATGGATAGTTAGAAACTTCAAAGAAAATTGTTACGTGCAACGTGTTTTACAATCGTGTTCGTGATATTTATGATTTTAAATTATTCGTATCTAATAACGTTCTCTTTCAACACACGATATCTTCTACGTGTATTAACGCTCATTACATATAATGGAACGGATTGAAATCGAAATTTGATATTCTAAAAATAACAACTCACCTTTCTTCAGCCTCTTTCATCCACCTTTCGAGGACCGGTTTAATCTTTTGCGCACTTTTTGGCGTGATGTCCAATTTTTCGAATCTAGAGCCAACAACAATTTATGATTCACGTTCTCCGATTCCATATCGCATATAGAAATATTATACTCGTGAAGAAAGAAATCGAAATTTCAATCGTCAAAGACGTAAAGATCCTTTCTCCCGATCTCGATATTTCTCAATTTTTTGAATCTCAAGATACGAACTGTTACTTCGAACGAGAAGATAGAATTGAAATGAAAAAATTCTTTGCGTCTTTGTTCGACTAAAGGAGCACTAAAAAAAGCATGCATTGACTCAAAAACAGGACATTGACAATGCGTGCATGCTTAAAGGTTTTGGTGATGCCGTGTATGATGTTGCCAACGCGCTTCGAGAGCTAGTGTTCTTCTGCGTATAAACGACGAGCGTATACCAAAGTAATTGTATACAAAGATCGAGTGATCAATTTAGACAAAAAGAAAAAAAAAATTTTAAAAAGAAATAAAAAAAGAAACGAAGATCGTCCAAAAAAAAAAATAGGAACACACTCTCATCGACGGACGTCGATCTTCGCGAATTTTTTTTTTTTTTTTTTTTTTTTTTACGTGTACTCACGCGTTGGCGACATCATGCCCAAGTTTGCCAATGCCCTGGCTCGAAGAAATCGTTAACAAATTTCACAAGTGCTCCTTTCGCATCTCATTTTAATCTTTTTCATTCTCTTTTTCTTTTCTCTCTCTCTTTTTTCTTTTTTCTTTTTTTTTTTTTTTTTTTTTTTTCTTTCATTGCCAGAAACGGAGTTAGAAATTAGTGATAGCGATATTGCAGCTATACCCAAATATGCCCCAAAATTGATATTAAAGACGTGTTCGAAGCGATATAATCGTTCGAATTTAACGAAACACCGAGGAATGAAACGGAGAAAGTCGACATACATTGAGAGAAAAATAGAAGAAAGATCAAGGGCGATAGAGAGAAAGAGATAATGTAAATTCATATATTATCGTTATGCACGTGTACACTCGTGTCTCGCTTGTCGTTCAATATTACAAGGAAGATATATATTAATTTCAACAAGCCTTGAAGAATCGAAGATTTTTTGAGAACATGATGATACTCTGAGCTACTCTCGCACACGACGATAACCAAATGTACGGATTCACATGCTTGGGTATAACTGCTATGCTTCCAGAAGGATTTGAAAAAGTTTTAGATTTTTAGGTAAATTAAGTAGCATGAGGGGTGAACGTACGTAGCTTGCTGCTGAGAGGCAATCTGCGAGGCAGCGTACATCTGGGTAGCCAGGGCACTGGGGAACAATCACCAATGCTTAAATTAGTCGTTACGATAACAATACTAGGGTGTAGAAACAACGTTTCTACTTGCCACCAGCACTACCACCGTGGTTCCTTCCGGATCTCGAACAAATCTTATCTCTTAACAAAAACTAGATGAGAGAACAGGGACGTATGATCTCATATCAAAATCACGTGTGCAACGTTCGAACGAAACACGTGTTTCAGGAACCACCGTGGCAGATTACACATTACACATGAAAATTCAACGACGTTTTTCTCTCTCGGAATATGTACTCGAAGAACTCGTGAAACTCGCGATCAAGGTACACAACATGGCTAACTCTGTCGCGACAGCGCTATGTCCAAAATCAATTGGTTATTTAGAACCAGATCGAATGCTAATTTCAACGACGAAATTTCCTTCTTCATCATCATCATCTTCTTCTTCTTCTTCTTCTTCTTCTTAGAATGATCCATAAAATTGGAAAACACGAGGTAGATATAGGCAAGATAAAGATACAGATTAACAGAGCTTAAAGAATTAATGCAATAAATCGAATGACCAATTTAATTTGGACATAGGGCGGAGTAAAAAGAGTTGGTCCTTGGAGGAACTTTGAACGAGTGTCCCTTAGCCCCGACTTCTTTAAATGGAAGAAGACATCATCGAGATTCAGCGTGGTCTAGAAATGTACACAGATTGTTAGCAGCCAAAAACAGGGAACCATCCCTCTTTCTTTTTTTTTTTTTTTTTTTTGGCCATTTCCAGTGACCTGGCACATTGTCGTATATCAATCTAATTTCATCGTCCTTTCTTTTTTTTCTTTTTCTTTTTTCTGTGTCTCATCAGCGACGTCCGTATGAAATATTCGTGACAAGTACAAGATGAAGATAAAAAAACTAAAATGACGAAAGGAAAGACGACGAGGTGTCGCACACTCACCTGCATATGGCACTTTGGCTGTAAGCTGGCCCCTCTGTCACGCTCAGGGCCTGTCCCACCTGGGTCTGCGTCAGACCCAGCGACAATCTGCGAAACTTGAACACCTTAGCGAATTCCTTGATCTCGTCCAGATTTATCCCGTCGACTACGTTGTTCGTGGCCTCGTTGATCGTCGGTTGATCTGTAATTAATAGAATCTTTCCTTTGGTGGGATTTAAAATTGAGAAAATCGGTATTACAATGAGATTCAAATTGTTTTCTGATTCTTTAATCGTTCTTCGAAAAATATATTTGCCAAAAAAAATATATATATATATATATATTCGAGAAATTTAAATTTTCGAGAGAATTCATCGAAAATATGATTTAATGAAAATGTTCATTTAATTAATTTCTTAGAACGAGCAAATCTCGATCCAAAAAATACACTCCAGAATAAAGATCGTCAATTATTTTCAATTATGTTTGATTAAAAGCTAGAACGATTTTCTAGAAAGAGGATTGTCTAATAAAATATTCCATTCGATTCATTTCTCAAGAATACCTTTCTCAAAGAATACTTTTACTCTCATCCATTACCCTTACTGATTCTCTTAAGAAGATCTACGATCCTTGGAAGAAAGTGTTTTGACAAAGAGCAATTGTCCAACGAATTCCGGATCGATCGACCGGACTGCCTCAAAGTTCTACCGAGAGGCCTATCTAATGATACCGGCTTCGTTAAAGCTGCTTCAAACGCGCCGATTTCTCTCGTAAATCTGTCACCCCGAACGTATGTACATACGCACGCAATAGAGGTGGCCAACAATCTCGGCCAGTTTGAACGGCTTTCTTCGCCGAGCAATAAACCGCAAATCTTTCTTCCGTCTCTGCACCGTCTCTGCGATCATTAATTTCCAATCGAACGCGGGATCCTCGTCCGTGGAACACAGACAAAAACGCGACGACGATGCTCCACGACTTTCTCGTGCAACGAGGAAGTGCCTCGTTTCGAGGAATGCGCAAGTATTTTCGCGAATCGGTACCGCTCGTACAACAGAGAATCCGTTATTTTCGTATCAAGATGAACGTGAGGAACGTTTACACGAATGTGTTTTTAACGAGAAACGCGTATATTCCCTCGAAGAATTTAATAAAGTAGATAGAAATTGTGTTCAATGTGATATTTTTTTTTTTTTAGGAATATCTCAATATTTGCAATAATTTCTCCATTCAAATTGTTCTTTGATATATTTGTTAGTTTGCTGTATGGGTCTATATAGGATAGAAAATGGCCGAATTCTTAATGAAACTTTCAAATTTCGTTGAAAATAATTAATTAAAGTATAACACATCACTGTACATACTGAAATCGAGCAGTTCATGCGCAATGTTATAACTTAATTTCTCTTCAATTCCATTTGCATTCGTTAAAGTTTCGTGACAGAGATGCAATTTCTGTTGAAAAACTTTCACGGTGGTTATACATAATGATTTATAAAAAATGTATGAAAAACATTCGACAATGTTACTTCGGAGAGGACCGAGTGCGTAAAGTGATTATTAACTCTTTTAGGGGCGCCATTTTTTTTTCAGAGAGGGCGCCACGTGCCCGACCAGCAGATAAAAAGTAACGTAAACGTTTATAATCGTATTCTTATATTATAATGCGAAAAATTTTCATTCCTCAATTATTCGAAACCTCGATCTTTTCAAAAAAAAGAAAGTCACTTTAATCCTCATTATTTTAATCAAATCGACACGTTCAATATTTCTCATCACCCGCAATCAATCCTAATTCGAAGCCTCATTGTTCTTAACGAGCGATTCGCGACATTTTTTTTCCAGCAAACGAGAAAGACACTCGATAATAAGGGCGTGAACGAGCAACGTGAATGCTCGTCGATCGTGATCTCTTCCCTCCAAATTTACTCCCCATTGTCCTCTCTATCCATCCATACGAATCATAAACGAACCGACCATCCTCCACCCTCCCCTCATCCTACGCCTCTCTCTTAAATTTACGAATCGATTCTCAAGGATCAACGCGAGATTGGTTAACAAAAGCTTAGATTTATCAAGTAACGTTGGCATCGGCAATTGAGAATCGTTAGGCTCGATACGTCGAACGATTATTATTATCATCGTTGTCCCGCGGAATGACGAAGTGCCACAGCCTGAGCAATGATTGTGAATTATTAAAATTATTGTCTGGCCGACTTGTCGAGGGGTTACGTGCACCGTACACGGAATCTTTATGGCTTCCCAGAAGGCAGCGGGAGAGAGCATACGATCTAATACACCGTAATGAGCCGTGCATTGTACGATATCCTATTAGGATTATTAAGAGCTTCGAGGCGCGGACGGACGCCGCCAACGTTATTATTTATCGGCTTTGACCGTGCGTTAAATGTTGAACCCGAGCAGAAGGGAAGGAAACGTGATTCGAGGCAACGAGGCAACGAGAAAGAATCGGAAAGATCCCGTTGAATTTTTATGCAGCGCCGTGTGAGAAAATTTTCTAAATTTTATTAGATTCCTATCTACGTAATTATCTGGAGCGTAATATATCGTAATAATTTGCATTGAGACGTTTTCGAGTTGTCGATCGATTCATACTTTTCGAAATGTATTCTTGATTATTGGAGATATTATTTAAAAATATTCATTATCTCGTCTTTATCCGTTTCACATTCGTTTAAATCGTTTATTTGATTTGTCTGTTCGATTTGAAATTCTATAAGATGAAATCAAAATTGGATGGAATCGATAAATAATGTCTGAATGGTTAAATATTATTAATATTTTAATAATTTTGCTAATTCTGGAACATGGACTAAAATAAGGTAAAGCGATGAAATCGATAAATGTTAAATATACCTATATGAATTCTAAATATATTCTTGTAAATATATAAAGAGTTGATGGCGCCACTATCGTCAACAAGACAATCAAAAAGATTAAAAGACTCTTTTCGGAAATTACTGAATCTATGTAAACTATTCATACCAGATATCATATCATTCCAGATCCAAGAATAATTTTTTCCAAATATTATTTAACCTCTCTCTACTAGTCTCTCTCCATCCAAAACTTTAAATAAAAAATTTTTGAACCAATCTAAACTATTCTCATTACAATAAAACAATACATCAATCTATTTCAAATTCAAGAATGATACTTTCTCTGTTCACCAAACCACCAAACTTTCTACTCCACATCTAAAAAAATATCTTCATTCGCAAAACCTTAAAACCTATCAAAAAAAAAAAAAAAGAAAAAGAAATAAAAAAAACTGAATAAAAATGATCTTACTAGGTGAATCATTGAGATCCTCCTCCTCCTTCTTAGGATTGTGCATGCTGCTCGGCGTGACACTCGCCTTCACCCCGGCTCCACTAGGTCCATGCGTGGTCGTGATCGTTATTTCCCCGTTGCTGGCCGCCAGTCTGTTCAGGGCCGAGGCTGCGGATACCACGGACTCGTTCAAAGGCGACGACTGCTCGGGCCTCTCTCTGTGATGTTTCTCCGTCGGCTGCGAGGGACACGCAACAGTAGTAACGGATTAGTAAGCTCGATCGCGGTATCAACGATACCCATCCCCTCTTCTCCCCCCCCCCCACGCCAATTATACACTTAATAATGAGACCCTCCTTCTTTCAATTCCCCTTTCTCTCTCCCCGTCCAAGATCGAAACACTTTAAACTCTAATTAGTGGAAGAAAAGTGCCGCCCGGCGAATACTTTCTTAACGAGATCGCTTGCTATCGGCGAATTATTCCGCTTGTTCGGCCGATCCTGCGACGGTCAAGCCTTTTCCTCTTCCCTTTCGACTCGCGATTTTCCTCGATACATTTCTCGATACTCGCAACAAATATCGAGCGCTCGTTTCGCATGGTCACAGTTAGATCATCGCATCGTGTATATCGAGTACCGGGATCCGGTGTTAGTCAATTATAGAAATCGGAAAGGTATCCTTCGATTCGACGCAATTCCCCTCCTCTCCGTTGGATAATAATTGAAGGAAACGAGGGGAAACGTCGAGGGGAAAAATCGATCGCGTAACAGTTTGTCGAAGGGAATGAGAATGGGCAAGGGAGGGGGGACGAAACCTACTTCTGTGGAACGTATTGTCGGGGTAATTTTAAAATAATCCGGGGAAATGTGGTTTAATTTAAAAAAAAAAAAAAAAAAAGAAAAAAAAGAAATTGTTTAAATTTAACATGACAACAGGTATCGATTGCCGAATCGACGATTATCGAACGTAATCCCTCCCCCCCTTTACCCCCCATTTCGTGTTTAAACACAGAGCGGGATTTTTTTCTCGAGGATGGAGTAATATCTGTCGGACACGTTTCGTTGAATTCTTAACAAAGGCTCGATCGAGCACGAGGTTTCGCGGGATGGAAACGATTCGCTAAAAATATGTATAGGCGATTGATTAAATTATCGACAACGGTCTATTAATAGGATGTTCGTTGACGGTATTCAAAGCGATAATCCAATTATCGATGGGAATAATCGTATCGTTTTCGTAAGATGGAGGATGGTTGTGGGGGAAGGGGATGATTACGCGCGTGGAGAGGTTTAAATTATTTCGCGGTCAAGGATCTACTTACCGTGTAATGATTCATATGAGAGGTGTGTCGATGACCGTGCTGCTGGGGCGAGGTGGTCAGAAGCGGTTGTTGAGAGGCCTGTGCAGCTTGGACCGCTTGTGCCGCTTGAGCCTGAGCCGCCTGCGCGGCCTGGAGCAGTTGCTGAGGCTGCATCGCGCTCAGAAGTTGCTGGCTGGCCGAGCTGTTGCTCAGAAGGTGCGGTAAGGCGGCCGGATTTAACCCTAATCCGGATGCTAAACTCGGACTTGTTGGGACTGTCACGTGGGAAGAGAAAAGCGTGAGTTACTACTGCTCGTGTCGCGCGAGAATTTAGACTTGTGCTATTCCGGACGTTCAATTTCACTTCAATATATTTTTAATCGAATTTATCGAATCTTCCCGAAAAGAAAGGAAAAGAACTTTGGGCAAAGAATTCGAAAATTTCCAAATGAGACGAAAATTTTGGAAATTTTCCAAATTGATCGAATCTTTACAAAAAAAAAAAAAAAATTACTAAAAAAGAAATTATTGTTTATTAGAATTAAAATTAGAATTTTTCAGGAAAAATTGCTATACTATCGAATAATCGTTCCAAGTGAACAAAGTAAATTTATTTATACCTGTAAATTCACCATTGCTAGTCGGCGTGTTCAGCATGTTCTGCGGTTGAGCGATCGACTGAAGGTTCGCCAAGGTCGTAGACACCACTTGTCCGTTGCTGAGCGCCAAGTTCACCATTTGATTATTCGTGACGTGGCTGACAGGGATGGTGAGAATAGTTTGGGTGGCTATTCCTGTCCAGACGAGAAAAAACGAGAAAAACGAACGAACGTTAATCCCTGGATAAGCAAGCATCACGAGAGACAACGACACCAAGAGCGTGTAAAGACCGAGCGGACAACGGAGTTTGATAATTCTATCTTTAGCCTATCCCCGCGTATGAACGTGTCTCGAATCAATAGATACTTCATTTCCATTATGAACGTAGTCCACGCGTCGTTGATCCAGGAAGGGTAGTAAAGTTATCAGAGTCTCATAGAGGGATTATTAGGCAACCCATAGGGCAGGTAACCTCGCAGGCCAGCGTAGTTGGCAAACTATTATCGTCATCTTAATAGTGGGTACAGGTACTGGCACTGGACTAGGCTGCGAGAAGGACGCCTAATCATACTTAGAATAGTTTCGGGATTACCTCCAGCTCCGCTAATCTGATTACCCTGTACACGCGCTTAATATGATTACTGATCATGAGTACGTACCCGTGTTGGTACCTATAGCTAAGCTAAGCAAATCCCGTATTCCGAACAGCCATAAAAGTTTCGCGTTCTGAGGTAAGGTCAACTGACAATCCGATTAACGTTTAGTTCCGTCGTGATATTCGACGATAATATTCCGCCTGGTGTACGTTCTCTTTCTTTTTTTTTTCCTTTCTCTCTCTCTCTCTCTCTTTTTCTCTCTCTCTTTTTTCTTCTTTTTTTTTATTTCCTTCCGTGTTGTCGTCGCGACGCACATCCTGCCCTGTCTCCTTTTCTCTTCTTCTTCTTTTTCTTCTTTTTTTTTCTTTTTTTTCTTTTTTGTTTTTTTTTTTTTTTTCCTTTCAACTTTTTCCTCCTTTTTCCACGCCCGGTGAAAATGGACTTTCACGTGTCCGCGAAATCTCATTTCTGTTCCCGTTTAAACTATTACGTTTCCCAAGCTTCCTCCGGCCGACTATGCGAGTCAGATTAAGGCTGACGTACACCGCAGCTCGAAAACGTGTGTACATGGACAGTTGATTATTTTTCATTGGGATGTAAATTTTAATACGATCGCGGGATTAGAATTAAGCTTGAATAAGTTGTGTTAGTTAGTAATTGTAATGCATCAAATATTAATTGAATCGTGTATTTAATTTCAATTGTTTCAACGAATAATTTCAACGTGCAACTCCGTTGAGATAAGTGACGCTTATCGATATTTGTCATTAATTTTTTTTTTTTAGATAAATTCGCGATTCATCTCGACATTACGGGTCGATCAAAGTGTCAGAAATTTTTTCAAAAGTTTCAAAAAGGAAGGAGGAAAATTGAAATCGGATCAGATTCGGGAAAAAAATTGATCGAAGAATAATCGAATCATTCGTTCCGTTAAATCCATCCGTGTTTAATGCGTCAACGTACGTCGTCGAGGTTAACCGGTCGAATTTCGATTTATAATCAAGCTAAGATTTAGTCATCTGACCTGTGTCTTTTTCAAGATTCTTCAATTTCCGGACGAAAATAGAGTCGGCGCAACTGACAATCCATCGCGAGGGCTTATTCCTGAACGAGCATTCCAAAGTATCCAACGTTATTTGCGTTGCCAATGATCCGTATCCTCATGACCTACTCCTATCTTAAGTATCAAACATTCATTCTCACTATTGCTTTCAATCGTGTTCCGATTGTAAAATTATTCATCGTAGATTCAATTGGGATTCCAACCATCTGATATACATATATATGTATAATATACATATATATATCCAAGGCGAATTGGCGCAAAAGTTCAATACGTCGAATAAGTGTTTAAGCAGAGTTAATGCATATTTAATCGTACTCTATTTCCCGCATCGCTAAATTTCTGTCCTTAGCCGAAAAAAATGCCTCTCGAATAAGCTCGTCGGTGAATATTCTATATGTCACGTTAAATTTTTTATTATATCGCGTTGTGTAGCATAAGGACGAAAAATTGTTCTACTCGTGTACGTAGACAAGTAGACAGGAATCGAAATAAATATAATATTAATCGGAAACAATAATTATAGAAAAATTTCTTTCCATATCCAGACAACGCTTCTCCCTCCAATAAATAAAATAATCATTTTAATTCATATTTGATTTTCGGATTTTTAAAAAGTTTTGCCATTTATAAAGTTTCGCAATTAATTAAATACGATCTACCGAATCGTAGGAGAGATTTTTTTTTTTTTTCAGTTTCGCATAAATGCAATACGAAATCAGCATTCCGACATTATTAATTATTCACAAACGAGTCTTAACGTTAAAAAAAAAATGCGTCAAATCTTCCAACGAATCTTCGAAATACCGTAATAATATACCACTATCCATTTTTCGACGACGCCCACCACGACGAATCCAACAACACCTGACCACAGAGAACACCTTCTTTGCTCGTTCTCTGCACGTCTTATCGGCGCCCAATCGAGCGTGTTACCATCAGTTACCATCGATTGTGCCGAAAAGCAGTGCAAACATTATTTGCCACCACGTAACTCGTCATCCTACCACGACCGGTCCATATCCACCAACTTCAATCCACTTAGTCGGACTCGCAAAGTTCTCCTTACCCCTCTTCTCGCCCACCATGCCTCACTTCCTTCTCCTTCTCCTTCTCCTTCTCCTTCTCTCTCTCTTTCTCTCTCTCTCTTTCTCTCTTCCTCTCTCACTCTCTCGTCCCCTAACCATCTGTCTTCCTTTGTCCCTTCTGCAAGCCCTCTTTCTCTCTCTCTCTCTCCCTCTCAATTGCCAGAATAGAAACCCAACTTGGTAGAAACGAAGTTAGCGCGAACCGCAATCGATATAATAGCGGCCGAATCCGCGGAGCTGTGATGTCCAGCCAGCAAGAGCAAGAGAAAGAGAGAGAGAGGGGGAGGCGAGGGGGAGGGAAAGGGAGAGGGAGAGTAGGGTTAGGAGAGTAGGAGAAGCGAGGACCCGAGGAGGAGGCGAGAGGGTGTGGGTTATTCGTGGGTCTGGAAAGGGGTAGTGAGACGTTAATTATACATTGAAATTAGTTGCAGAGTTTGCCCTCTGCTCGCCAGGCTAGTCTAGGACCACTAAGTATGGACGACGGGGCGAGCCTTAGTCCGAGCCTTGGTCAGAGATAGTCGATATCATATTATATATTATATGTACGTATGTATGTATAATATATATACATCGGCACATCTTGATTGCACAACATTATGCGCCGGCACATCGTGCAGATTTCACGATGAGACCACTCGGACTGATTTATGCCCCGAAATTCGAAGGTACTTAGTGCGAGGGTTATTGTTGGAGATTTCTTGTTGGTTTACTGATAGCAACGGGATATACCCTGCTCTGCTCTCTCTCTCTCTCTCTCTCTTTCTCTCTCTCTCCTCTCTCTCTTCTCTGGGTCCTTTATCTCTGTTTTCCCGTCTCTCTCCTCGTTCCCTCTGCGCCTCTCGATCTTTCCCTCCCTCTTGGCCGCCGTTTAATTAAATTTCCCAGGTGAGGCCGCGATTAGCCGCCTCGAATGTTTTCGGGAGCTCGACAGCTTGGACCGGTTTGCCGGCGTCCAACTCACTTTGCGAGTTTGGAAAAAAAAAAAAAAAAAAGAAAAAGAAAAAAGGAAAAAAAGGAAACGATACACCGTGACGTGTAAAGTGAATCGCAATAATCTTCTGATGGCGAGGGGAAATATATATATATCTTGTACGAAGATAACTTTTGTTGGGAAACTTTCGAATTAATTTGTGATGGAGAAATTTTCGTTTGCTTTTGAATTAATTTGGGATAAATAAATTGTTCAACGATAATATTTCAACCCTCAAGAATATTCAGAAAGATAAAAATTTTAAATTTTGAGAACTCTTTTTTACTTAATCATCAATAAGAAAAAATAAATGTCAAATAATTTTCCAGAACCATATTTCCTATATATAAATTTTATCAAAAAAGAAAAAATTCGAAATGCAACTATTTGAATATTTGAAATGAACGCATTCGAAAATAAAATAACGTTTTATTAAAAATTATTCGACGTATTTACCATAGAATGTATTTCCTCTTGGAATCTAATTATTTGAGACTACGCATCCAAGGCAGTGAATAGGATCCGCGAGAGGGTTCGACGTACAATCGATTTACGTGACACGTTGGACGTGGACGGCCTTAACTTCGATCGCGGACAAGCCTCTAATGGGTGTCGTTCAATGCTCGTTTCGAGTGTGTTGAAAGGGTGCTAACACATAAGAAACAGAAGGCTTACCTTGCGACGTAGGGATAAGGAGCTGAGCCCCTTGAATGCCTTGAACCAATTGACCGGACGTTAGGATGAATTGAGGCATCGCGACCGGTTGCGGCTGAGATAATAGCTGAGGTAATGTCGCCATTGGTGTCGAGCTCGGTGGCAGGAGGTGAGGGGCAGCTGTCGTGTTCGAGGCTGTTGGTACCGTGCCACCTGAACATGAAAATTCATTCGCTGAAAAGAGAATCTGCCGATTTAATTAGCTGTCCACCACCTTTTTTTTTTTTTTTTTGTTCAATTTCTCAACGCTAGAACCGCCAAATTTGTCAGGGTTTGTAAATAGGCTGCGAAAAATCGCATAATTTTCATATAAATATATAAACCAAAACGGAGATTTGTTTTATCTACTTGAATATTATATTACGTAATACGAATATATTTTAAACGTTTTATATATTTTTTCCATGTTATTTTACGTGCTTTCACAGCGTATGTTTTTACGCTGCTAAATTTTTCTTAAACGGATTAAACAGATTAATCGTGGTCTTTTATATGTATGAATATTTTCTAAATTTTTACACCGACATATTTAGATAATGTGATTCTGTATCGAAATTTTTTTCAACTAATAAGAAAACATTTTTTGAACGATCCACTCTATATGTAGATACATATAAATTGGTAATTCTAGCGTGAAAAATATTAATTATTCGATCAAAATTATTAGAAACCAAAAAAAAAAAAAAAAAAAAAAGATATCTTGATCCGAATAATAAAGAAAGCAACTTGACGAATCAGCGCGAAGGGTTTAAAGATTACAAGCGTGTTGCATTATTTGCAGCGGCGTTAAAGTTTAATTGAATCGGTGAAGGGATGGAATTTGAATATAATTCAAGCGAATGAAAAGGATTGTCGAGTTTTGCGTGTTGCCGGTTCGTCAAGCCATGCGATGACTGTTTGTATCCCTACCCGAGGAGCTGACAGTGAGATTCAGGGGTGTGTTGATGAGCTGATTGTTAGTCAATCCCGCTGTCATTCCCTGGAGACCTGCGGCCAACGATGCGACTTGCGGTAGATTTTGTAGACTCGCCAAATTCTGAAGATTCTGTAGGGTCACCATTCCTGCCACTGATGATGAAACAAACATTTAATTACAATTATATTTTTCCTCTTTAATTAAACGCATCCTCTAATTCGTCATATTGACTCTTTGTTATCTCTCATTCGATAAGAATGAGAAATACAAAATATAAAAGTGTAAAAGTTACTTAAATATCTATTAGTATCTAAGATTTTAAATTTTAAATTTTAAAAAAATACGCGATAATTAATTTATATTGATATGAAGAAGTAACTTTCGATATCGATGTAGAAAAATGTACACCTTCTCTTCGATCAATGATTAATTATTAATAAAATCACAATCTAAATTATTAATCTACGTAATAGAGGAAATCTAAACTCACTCGTTCCATTGAGATGTGCTTGCGCCACCGCTGCCCGTTTCGCTTGATGGAGATTTTCAGGTGACGGGCTATTCTTCCGCGAGTTTTTCATTTCATCCATCATCATCTGATGCTCATGGAGCGAGCCAGTGGCCGCCACCGGTTCAGGACTGCCAACGCTACTTCTATCGCTATCCTGCAACAAAACGTTCATCCAGATGGTTAGTTAAAACAATTCACACATCATCGCAACTTACGTTCAATCCTGCGATTAAACATTCCCAAACATTTCTCGATCACTCGCAACGAAACACGTTGAACAAAATGAAAAAGAAAAGAAAAGAAAAAAAAAAAAAAAAGAAAAAATAGGAAAGATCGAACACTGTATCGCGAAATCATACGTCCCTGTAATGTTTTTTTTTTTCAGTCTTTTCATCTTTTTTTTTTTTGTCGAATTTATCGAAAGCCAGAAAAAAGCAGCCGCCGGGAAAAAATATTAATTACGATTGAAGAGGCACCGGTGAAAACACGGCCGAAAAGTCCGACCGGCGAGCAATGCGCTCTGTCAGCGGCGAAAATGGCGATACTTTATTTCGTTTATTACGCCGCGTTTGAAACCCCTTCGCATTTGTATTGATAACAATTATAAAATATTCGACCGCCGACGCTGGAAACAAAGTGCTTTCGACTATATACGTCGCCGCAAATTTTCTACCCTATCCTTTCCATTTTTTTTTTTGTCACCGATTTTCGACATTAATGGCCAAAGTTAAAGGAAGGGATATCGTTGACGATCGAGTTTTTCGAACGTCTTCGCGCCTTTCTTCGATCCAATCTTGAAAACTTCTTCTTTCTCTCTTCGTCTCGATTTTCGAATCGATTTGTGAAAATCGATTATTATATTTCCATCGAAATATAATCGAAATGGAAATTGGAATTAGATGATCAGAATCAGAATTTTTCCAAACGTAATATTATGTGTAATATCAATTTGGAAAATTGATTACACGATCGAATCATTATTAAATACACGGATAATTACGTATGCATAGCACTATAATGTAATTCGATACTAATTCGATGATCACGTTTGAATGGAGTCGAAAGTGAATGGTAGAATTCGATTGTACGAGTTTCAGGTGTGCTCGACGATTATAATTTCCAGTAATGCGTAATAAGGGGGATGAAGGTAAACGAGTGGCACAATTATCGTGCCGTTTCCCCGGTTAAAACCCGGAGGAACGTTCGAACAACGTTGCTCGAAGGGAGTTCGCCCGATACCACGACTGATTATTTCACGAAGGTCAGGCAAAGCCACTGCAAACTTCCAACTTTCCTACCTGTTTAAGGACAGGGTGGATCGCCGGACCCCAACCTATCCCAAGGGGATTCGATAAACGTCCCAACTTTTCGATGACGCTCTTCGTCCAACCCGGGAACACGACCAACTTTTTAAATTATCGATCCCATCACCCATTGTGCGCCGATATAATTAATTCGCGTTGCGTAAGCAAGTTGACACACTGAGAGTTACTTTGAGAGAAGAACAGGAATGATGCTATATTTAATTTATTTTTCATTAACATTTTTTAAAATGTTACGCGTTATTTTTATTCTCCTGTATCGATGTGTGTATACGATTTCGTAACGAATATGCATCATAAGTTCGTATCAATTCATTTGTATTATTTGAGAAATATTATTAAATATTGTATGAGAAATAAAATAAATTAAGCTTCTTGTTTCAATTTCTTTTCTCCTTTCTTAATTTAGATCACACTATAGATCTAGCAATCGATCTATTCCTGCATTTCTAACAAGAATCCTATTTATTTTTAAAGAAAAGTATAGTAGTAATTTTTTAATAAAAGGGAATTTTTATTAGAACGAACGAACATTATATTCGATGACCATGTGTCACTTTATTACACATACACTCGTTATTTTCAATCACGTAAATATTTTCCGATCGAACTTTTAATAAATTCGACGTACGCGAAACAAAAGAATCTACAGATCTCACCGAATTATTAAATTCCCAAAACCGTTAATCCGATATCCTAATCGATTCCGCGCACGCGATCCTCGCCACGGTGACGTGGCTTCCTATCCAATAAAAATATATAGAAAGACAGAGATAGAGACAGAGAGAGAGAGAGAGAGAGAGAGAGAGAGAAATCGAAACTACACAAGTCGTCCACCCCTTTTTACCATCCCCGTACCTACGCGCCCCGATTTTTTTCTCTCCTTGCTGGCCGAAATCAATCGAACGGACACGCAAAGGTTTTATCACGGGCTCGCAATCATTCTCGCCAAAATGCTCAATTATACGCGCGTGGTTCGTTAACGTACCACGCTTTTTATTGCGGCGGCACGTTTAACGCTGAAAATTGATTAATAATCATTCACGGTCCAACTGGCCGACGTTAAAATGCTTCGCTACGAAATAATGGTGGTAGACACACACGCCGTTCGATAGGGTACAAGGAGGGGTGGTGCAAACTGGGGGAAAAAAAAACAGAAGGAAAGAGAAAGGAGACGAGAAAAAAGAGAGAGAGAGAGAGAGAGAGGAACAACGAAATATCGTATACGCGGGCGACGAATCATCGACGAGTCATCGACGAATAAGAGGAATCAGCGAGACGAAGTTCACCAAGATCTGCACGCGCGCGCACGCGCACAGCAAACACGCGTTTCGTACTCTGTACACATACACGCATACATACGCACGTGGAAAAACACGACAAAACGACGCGTCGCCGATTTCTCGAATCGAACGCGCGAGAGTTCATAATATTTCCCATGATCCGTGTTATCCGAGCCGATTCTTTGTGAGTGGCGCGATTCTTTCGCGAAATGAAGCTCGTTAACGAAATTCTATCCGCGATAATACGATTTTCGCGCGTTGTACAGAGCGGCGATGCCCGAAACGAAACGAGCACCCGCCCCACTCCTCACCTTTTTTCGCGGTTCGAAAAATTGCATTGTTCGTTTTCCACCCATGTATCGGGTGGATATTATATAAACATAAATAATTCGTATCGCGCAATTTTTCTATTGTGGGAATGGCGATATCCCAAATTAACAGGCCGACGTCGGGAGACGGTTTGGCTGGTAGAGAGAGAGAGAGAGAGAGAGAGAGAGAGAGAGAGAGAGAGAGAGAGAGAGAGAGGAGCGCACGTGAAGATGGAGGGGGTTGGTTGTAGGTTCAATCAGAGCGGCGTGCGCGATATATTGGCAATCAAGCCGGTGAATATTTTTTATATACCGGTGGTGTACGATTACAAAGGTGCACAAAGGATGGGTACGGATTGTCAATTTTCTTAAAATACCACCGGCGAATGTACAATCTCGCGAGGCCGCGTTTGAATGCGCGAGGGAGGGGGAAGGGGGAGTGAAGATTGGAATTTGTGGCAATTATTCGCTACCGGATTTTTGCGTTACCAACGTGCCATTCACTGAGTTTCTATGGTAACTTATTATCGATACAGAGACGTATTAGTCGGTGCACTACACTATCGATGATATCGGTCGAACGGTGTCTTCCGCTTCTTCATTCGATCCTTTGATCCCGAATTTTCCGGGATACAATTTTTCCTTCCGTTAATGTGACGCAGATGGAATTAGGCACGGTTTCGATCATCGTTCCTACCTCTTTCGAATTTCCTCGCGATATTTTCTTTCTTTCTTTTTTTTTTTTTTTTTTTTGAGTTCAATTATTTCATCGAGGATCAAGAAGAACATCTAAGAAGAAAATTTGAGAGTAACGAAAAAATTCAGCATCCTAGATTATCGCGTCTCGTCGATCTTTATCGAGAAAGCGAGAAATTTATCACCTCGCGATCTGCTCTCCCTTTCGGGGAGAAAAACGGAAACCGTGGGTGGCTATCTCGAGGAGAGAAAAAAAAAAAGAAAAAGAAAAAGATAAAGAAAATAGAGAAACACAAGCGTGTATTAATCATTCGTCCCGGTATCCCTTTCGTGCCGCGCGATATATAATTCATGCATATTTACGGGATGCCGGAGGAATAATTAACGAACGGCAGCGCATTAAGGCGCGTCCTGTGTGTATATACGTACGTGCACGTACAGTCGGCTTCTTAGAAAGACAATTTAAATTATAATAAATCGATGGAGCACGCACGAGCCTCGATGGTTTAACCAACCTCGGCTCTCTCATTCGCTCTCCCTCCACCACCATACCGCCCGTTTTCTTCTCTCTTTCTCGCACCACGCGTCGATGGCTGTACAAAGTAATGTTACCCACGCGGCGCGCTGCCTCTTTGCATAATGGCATGGAAATATGCCGGAACGTGTATCGCCATAGTTGGATACAGATTAAGCGTGTTAGAGCTTCGACACCCGGCTAATTCGCGAAAAAGGATTCTCCCCACGGGTTGACACGACCCATGAATAAATTCGACCGAAACATCCCCACCCTCGCCTGGCTGGTCAAGTCGAGCAACTTGGCCGGAGACCAGACATCCACCACGACGATTCCCACCCAGAGTGACAGAATTATTCTACCGGCACCACTTTCGCCAAGGGTCTTTTTAGACCTCGTAAACTCGTCCGCTCGTTTGTCTTCGGTGGACGGTTCTTTGGGTGGTTGGACAGCTTTTAGGGATCGTTACGGGGGAAGATATTTAACGATTTGATAATTTCTTTACTCCGGTTTTATACTGATCTTCGAATAATAATTCACCAAGGAAATGGAAATACTTCTCCAAGTTAGAGATTGAAAAGGCGTGTTATTCCCATTGTGGAATAAATTTAGAAAAATTGTCGCGTTCGAACGAGAAATTTTTAGAAAGAAATTTTTCTAATAAAAATTGCACTTATATCTCAATCACGCGTTTCCTATTCATACGTGTACAATGATTTCTCCATAAACACCGTTTCGAGAAAATATATTTCGCAAACATTTTCACGGCAAGATCGAGGGGATGAGGATTGGAATCTCGTTCGTACAAGTGACAAGGGGTGGTAAAAGAGAAAGAAGAAAAAAAAAATATTATATATAACGATCTCGAATCCCAGAACGGTGGAAGTTATCAAACGATTCGAATGCCCTCGCTGCCATTTTTCTATATAAAAGGGGCGAATATCCCCTTTTCCGGGGCGCTGTAATTTCGAATTTTCGTCAAAGTCGTACAATGGAGAGCGGGCGCTCGCGGCCGCGCCGCCATTGGTATC